GTTAAAGAAGGGATATGGCTTAGTAGACTATTAAATGAACTCGGCTTTGTTGATGAAAATGCAATTCTGTATTCTAATAATCAAAGTGCCATATACTTGAGTAAAAATCACATGTTTCATGATAGAACTAAATATATAGACATTAAATATCATTTTATTAGAAATGAATTAAAAGGAATTATGAAGATTGGTAAGATTCCTACTCAGGTTAATCGTTCAGATATGAGAACTAAGATAATACCTTTAAACAAGTTTCTTAACTATTTGAAGTTGTTATCTATTGATGTAATGTAATGTTTACAGGTACTTGGAGTAAATGAAAAATAATCTGTGATGTTGCTCTTGGCTACACCAAACCAAATTGTTGAAAGCAATGTGGAGATTGTTGAGTTTCGAACTTATGACTTGCCTATTAAATGTGCTTCCACTAATTATGTTGAAGTCGTGTTTTTGGAATTGACACTTATATTAATTCAAGTCATTGGCTGGATGGTTGACACTTGGCTTTCCTCTCATCATTGGATATGGTTCTAGCTAGATGGTTCTTTCTACATCTTCCAAGAGACATTTTGGGGTTTTCATTCAGTTCACTCTTCTGGCTTTTGGGTTCTCGCGTCTGTTCTCTTCCTTTAGAGAGAAAAACTCATTCTTACCTAGGATTTACATTCTTGAGTGTTTGAATCGTGTAAACTGTATATTCTCTTAGATCTACTTCTGATTGTTGTGAAGTAAGGGTTCTTTGAGTGATTTGTACGCTGGATCTTTTGTGATTCGAGTGGATTGTGAGGTGTTAGGCAGACATTTGTGCTCTGGCCTATTTTGTGCCTTAAGGGTGTGTTCGATCCAACGCCTTGTGTAAAGAGAAGTCTCGGTGGCTTNTTCGAGTGGATTGTGAGGTGTTAGGCAGAAATTTGTGATCTGTCCTATTTTGTGCCTTAAGGGTGTGTTCGATCCAAAACCTTATGTAAAGATAAGTCTCTGTGGCTTTGTCTTATATTCTTGAACTGTTTGTAATTGTTAGTTGCCATATTTTTGACTATTTAGTGCAATCGAATAATATCCAGTATTTGGATGCTCAACGGGGGATGTAGACGTTAGATCTGGTCGCCGAACCTCCAGAGCTTAGGCCGAAATATATCTCGTGTTCAATCTTTTAAATTCTACAACTTTACTTTCTGTTTTGAGA